GCCTCCAGAAGGCCAACTGCTCCCCAGATGTCACGGCTATGGGGTGAGTCACCACATAGCTCGGTGACTCACCGAACTTCCCCTCTAGACCGGTCCGAGCATGGCTCGGTGGTGGCTATAAAAGCCCCGGATCCTGCAAAACAAAAAAAAAAAAAAAAAAAAAAGACAGAGAAAGAGATACGAACAACCAGAGCAAGAACTACAGACACAAGAGTAAATCAACACCCAACAGCAACCAAATAAAGAAGGAAAAGAGGAAAGAAGACTTACCAAGGGAACTGTCGTCATCAGAGCCTCTCTACGTCTTTGAAACCGAAAGGTCGAAGGTAAAGAACCTTAGATCTACATATTTTGGTAATGATCTAGGTTAAAATACCCTCAGATTTGGCTTTAGGGAAAGCAGGGCTTCGATTTAAGGTATATATGTAATTTTTCGGCCACCATTAACGGTGGCCAGCGGTGGAGACCGACACCGGAGTACGGTGTCCGCGACTGCCGGAATTCTCTCAGTTAGAGAGAGAGAGTTTTATAAACTCTCTCAGTTAGAGAGACGAAGAAGAAGGAAATGAGGGATGCTGGCCCTACGGGCCAGCCATTTGGTCTTATACCCCTCCCAAACGACGCCGTTTTGGGTAGGGGTATATCTGTAATTTCGCGCACGGGTCAAACCTCTCGCGTAGTCATCCTAGATTTGTAAATTTCTATTTTTGTCACTGAAATCAATTCTTATACGTTTTAATTTAGTCTCGTAATTTTATTTTATTTTAGTCCTAGCCTGTATGTTTAAATATTTAGGATAATAATATTTAGTCCCTTAATTTTAATAATTAATATTTTAATTCTGAGTAAATATTTTAATTTATTCTAATATGATATTTGAATTTATATAGTTTATTTTAGTCATTAAATAATAAAATAAAAAATTATGTTTAATCCCTATAATTTGATTAATTATGAATTAGGTTTTTAATCTTAATTTTACTATATTTTAGTCACTAATTTTAAATTTTCATTATTTTACTGCTTTTAAATATATCGCTCTAATTGTATTTTATTGTTTATATATTTAATACTTATTATTATTATATAGTTTAAATATATATAATAAATAATATATATATATTTTTAATAAATTATTTAATATTTATTTTTCAATATCGAAGAAAGGGCAGTCTTAATACAACTGGATGTCCTATTCTGGTATTTTAAAATTAAATTTAAAAAATATTATTTAATTAAATATCAAAGAAAAGAACTGTCTTAAGGCACCTAGAAGTCCTTTTCCAATATTTTTAAATAAATAATATTTTTATAATTTGAAATAATAAGATTATAAATAAATATATTTTGAAATTTTAATAGAGACATTTATAATTAAAAAGTACCAATTTTGGGCGTGTAGGGTGTAATCCTTCCCTAAACGTAACCGACTACGAATCCCTTTTTATTATTAAAAAAACGAATTGTGTTATAAATGCAGATCAGTTCATTTTTAATTGATGTTTTCTTAAAACTCTTTTAAAAAATAATTTTTAGGTATTCGACCTACCTGACCCAAAAGGCCGATGGCGACTCCCAAATTATTTTCAAAACCATTTACTCACATCAATTTTCCCGCCAAGTATAATATTTCGTGCCCGGACTAAAACCGGTGACGACACATAGGAATCGAGTTATCACTACTCCTAAAGATGGCCAGTCGTCCTCATCACGTAGAAACCGTGTCATCCCCGACCAGACCTCCTAACCACGTATGGCCGTATCATCCCCTGACAAGATCTCTCATCACGTAGGAGTCGTGTCAACCTAGATAATCAGCCGTCCTCATCGCGAGAAATCGAGTTATCACTCTTTCTAAAGAGGGCCACGAACTCTTCATCACGTATGAGCAGTGTCATCCCCTAACCAGATCTCATCATCACATAGGAGCCGAGTCACCCTTAAACGACCAGAACTCTTCATTGCGGATGAGTCGTGTCGCCCCCCAAATCAAATAAATCAAATTTTAAACCAAAAAAATTAGAACTGGACAAAAACTTGTTGTCTTTTCGTCTTTGCCCTATTCTGTTAACAGAAGAATGTGCAAAGAAGGGCAACTGTAGACACCTGTTTTTTCCGGGTCAAAAAAAATATTATTATTATTATTATTATTATTATTAATTATCTTACATTTGTTTTTGTAGCTCAACTACAAGCAAGCCCCAACCCAAACCCAGATTATAGCCGGGTCAAGCCCAACACCCAGATCCGACCCGAACCGACCACCAACCCTTGGCAACACCTTGTTGTAGCCACCCGTCCCCATGCCCTGCCACCAGCAGTAGCACCATTCTTTGCCATCACCAATGCATCAACAAAATCAGTAGAGATTTTTTGTTATTTATAATTTGTAACAGGGTATAAACCTAATGAACCAAGCATGTAAAAAGAAGTTTTGATAAGCAATCAAAACAGAATTCTCAGCAATAAATTTTTTTCAGCAATTGAAAATACAAAGAGAAAGAGGTATTTATTTTTCGATTTATCAGTTCAATTATGGATTGCTATAAAAAAGTATAGTTTAATTTCTAGTTTAGTTTTAGTGTTATGTGAATTCCAGAGTTAAAAAAAAATTAAAAGATAAGGGGTTAGAAACTTAGCTTGTTGTCGGGGTTCGACCAGTGCCAAAGGTGTCGTCCGGAGGTAAATCGGAGTCGGACTAGGTCGGTTTAGGTTGAACGGCCACCGCGTATGATGGTCGTCGTTGTCCGATTCTAGGTCGAAGAAAAGAGATGGCTAAGAAGGATGAGGGGTGTCCTCGTGTGTTCCCTGTGCTGTTTGTTGGTCTAGGCCGGAGTGGAATAACCACCATATAGGGTAGCCGAGGCGTCGCTGACTCCGCGAGGGTCGGCTGCGTGATGGTCGTTGCACAAGTGTAGAGAAGGGAAGAGTGTTTGGAGGCTAGGATATGGTAGTTTCGGGCATAATGAAGAAAAGAGGGAGAAGTGATCTCATTTGAGATTGTTGGGAAAACCACGCTAAGGTCCTTGAACCTTTAGGTGTTTGTGTTTCAGTAACAATAGTGGGTATTCGTTGTCCTCTTAGGAACCCATAGTGTCCTGGTCCTATGGTGTTGTCTAGGCCGGAGTGGAATACCACCCATATGGGTAGTCGAGGCGTCGCTGACTCCGCGAGGGTCGGCTGCCGTGATGGTCTTGCACAGTGTAGAGAAGGGAAGAGTGTTTGGAGGCTAGGGATATGGTAGTTTCGGGCATAATGAAGAAAAGAGGGAGAAGTGGTCTCATTTTGAGATTGTTGGAAAACCACGCTAAGGTCCTTGAACCTTTAGCGTGTTTTGTGTTTCAGTAACCAAATAGTGGTTTATTACGTATATGTCCCCTACTTTAGGAACCCATAGTGTCCTGGTCACTAAATTAAGGTATACTGAATTTAGGTCCTCACGTTCTGGTGCATTTTTGCATTTTAGTCATTTGTTGCAGGGGAAATCATATTTAGGTCCCCAAGCTTAGCTGTGTTCTCATTTTTTAGTCACTAGACCTGTCGTTTTGGTATTTCTTTTGATTTATGTATCTTATTTCTATTTTATTTTAGTTTAGTCACATTCTGATATGCCATTTATTCGAATATAGCTAATGAACTTTACTTTATTTTGTTGTAGTCACTTTGTGATTGGACATGTAATTGTTATTTTATTTATTTTGGTCCTCGCTACTGACATGTATGTGATTATATTATTTCTCTTCAATATACGTTTCCTATTTTAATTAGTTTTAATTCCCAGTAAAATATGTTTATTTATTTTATTTATTTATTTTATTTTAATGCCTATATTTCAGAATAGATATTTATGTATGTATAGGATTATATACCTTTTTTTACGATTCTTTTCTCTTGTTTACATTAAGGCTATGTAATTTATCTTTTGCTATTTAATCACTTTACAAGGCATGTTTTAAATCTATGAGAACTTTTGTTGTCCTGATGTTACTCATTCTTTTTTATCCCTCATATTTTGTACGTGTATATACGTTATATTACTATAAAGTATTACTATAGTTTTATGTAGATACATGTATGTAATAAATATTGTATTTACTACACGTATGTTCCCTTTTTGCATTGGTATTTATTTTATTTCTTTTATAATTAAATATTGTTGATTTATAAAATACTTTTTTTTCTTCAATTATATTCTAAATTTTTATTCGAATATTTTCAAGAATAACGATTTGTAGAATAAGCGTGGAAGTATCACTTGTTCGAAGTGGTACAATTCAATACGACATTCGAACAAATACAAACTTGAAATAAATCAATTTTATTCTACTAATTAATTTATTTATTTTACTGATACAATAAGTGTTATTTTTATTCACAATTATTTCATGTATGCGAATGCAAATTGTCAATTTTCATTTATATTCGATTCGTATATTTATTAATGAGGGAATATTCTTTTATTGATAAGAAATAGTCGAGTTAGCTTTCTCGATGGAGGATTGCTAATGTCGATATTTCCTTTCAAGTTAAGAATTTTCTGTAATTAATTAATTCGAAGCAAATTAAACAATGTTCATAAACAAATCATCTTTTAACTTTATATTTGATTTTAATTTCCACCATTACGGCAACGTGTAAGCGACACAATATCAGTGTTTTTGGCGTTGTGGGGTGCTAATCCTTCCCCACATGTAACCGACTCCGAACCTATTTTATCGAATCTTTGATGAGACCAATTTTGTCTTTTAAAATGATTTTTCTTAAAGTTAATTTAAAAGACGTTTTTGGTATTCGACCTACCTAACCAAAAGTCAATGGCGACTCCTTTTTCAATTTCATTCAAATTAATTCCAAATCACCCCATTTTTCTAAATAAAAGTCATAATCGTTTTAAAAAATATATTTAATTTTTTATAAAAAAATGGTTATGACAGGAATTAGTGAAGCTGGAGGTGCAGGAGGAGGCTGAAATGGATTTGGAGTAAGAGGAGCTGGTGGAGGCTGAAAGGGGTTTGGAATTGGGAGCTGGTGGATGTTGAAAAAGATTTGGAATTAACGGAGCGGGAGGCGGCAGTATGGGAGGAAGCAACGGTGGAGGCTGTAAGGGGTTAGAAAACAGTGGCGGAGGAAAAAAAGTGTTTGGAGGGAAGAAAAAGATTCAATGGCTTGAAGCTGAAAACTCCAGTTGAAATAACATGAATTCCATGCTTTCTCGACACCAGACAGAGTGCATACGAAGATGATATTCAGGCCATCGCATAGCAATCCGGCTCACCGCTTCTAACCAATTTAACCGAACATCGTTGATCCTCTTCACCCTTTTGCTAACCGAGAAAGGAAGCTGAACTTCGAATTCACCATGCTCATTGGTTTTCACCTAAGAAGCACAGGGACGGCAAGGGAGGCCTGTTTCAAGTACTTGATATGTTTTTGGTTCGGGGACGACTAGGATACCTATCGGGGACGTGCCACGGTGGCAGGGTACGGCTGACCAAATTGGAGGACGGTAAAAGCTTATCCGTGGACGTCCCCGGGGTAATTTTGATTGCAACACGACCCATGACGACAACAGATGAGAGCCAATCGATGGCTAGGGTTGGGGTCACAACATAGAAGCTTTTGGACAATGACTGGTGACCTACTTACCTTAGATCAGTAAGAACGGTGGCGGAGCGACGATTGTGGACGAGCATTCGTGAAACAACAAAGGAAGAAGGGAAAACGAAGGAAGAAGAAGGAAAAGAAATAAGGGAGGCTCGTCTGAATGTTGGAATAAAGGTAGGGATTTGTGATTATAATAAAATGGAATAATCTCATAGATAGTCCTCAAATATTATATGTTTACTGAAAAGGCTACATAATTTACAATATTATAATTTGGTCAGAGAAATAATTTAGGGGTTTTACTGTTCTAAATTTAATATTGTGGTTTGAGCCTTGATATTTGACTTATTTATGATTTTTTATATATATTTATAATTTTAAAATTATTTTATATGTCGTATTTTGTGGTCCACGTACCTTATAATTTTAAAAATTATCGTTTCTTGTCCCTATCTCCATATCTATCTCCGTATCCATATCAATGCAACATAGGTTTTCACTTCCTGCACAAAACTCGGCCTTGAACTCGTCGTCCCATCTTTGCATTCTACAGCACCTGCACGTAAAACTACATCAATCAAGAAAGAAAATGAAGATGGAAGCTTTTAGACATGTTCGGAAATGGAATTAAACCTGAAATGAAATCGCTGCTACGCATGGGAAACATCCTCATGGAAACATGTAGTATCACAGTAAACAGTTCCAACAACGACAGCAGATTTCTTCTTCTGATGATGGCCATGGCTACCCTCTGAGAAGTCAATAGCTATAGAATTCGACAATATTATCAAAAGGAAGAACCAACACATTTTTAAAGTCTCTTACTTCCCAGGAAGTTTGTCAATAACAATTATTTTCAAGGATACGCTGTTTATAAATAAGTTATTTCCCGCAATCAAACAGGTCCAAATCAAGTTAATTTTCAGATTTAAAGCTCCTAGAAATGACATTTTCTAGTTTTGTTATATTATTACAAAATGTAAAGATTTGGATGTTGGATAGGGTAAACCAGAATTCCCTGCTGGTTCACGAGACCCTTTAAGACGACCGCAAAGAATTTCACGTGCCCTCGGTCTCAGAAGTCAGTGCCATGCCAAAAATGTCTGTCAACTCGAAAATGAAAGTCTAGGAGATTGGATTTCACATCTGATTTCTTTACCTTTTCTCGCAAAACAAAACAAAACGTATCTTCTTCACGGGCATCGAAAACAAAAACACATTATATTGTTGTCTTTTCTTACAAGACAAGCTCTAGAAAGTATCTTATAAATATTATAATTGTATGTGAATGCATATATATCTCGTGCTTTTCGTTTGCCAAGGATGTTTTGCAACACCATCGATAAGTTTTCCTTCTCGAATAAGATACCTATTTTAAAAGCAAAAAGTTCGTCTTCCATTCGTTTCCCCTTCTTAACCCATGATGGATAAAAGCGTTCACATTCTAGTGGTCTGTGTTGAAACTCGTGGTTGATCGGTAGGTAGTGAACGCCGGCGATCGATGAGGTAGCTCATGGCTGAAAGGACTAGGGGCGTCTGAAACTTAGAAGGCTGATGATGAAAGAGAGTAGAAAGGTTTAAGAAATATGGGCTGAAAAGAGTTGATGGACATTCCCAAATAAAAGCATTGTATAGCCCAATGAATGGGCTTAACTTCCTTAACACTACAACCGTCCAACCGAATGTGGTCGGGCTAACAGAATCAGTTGTCAAACCGTCACTTAACATTCACCTCGTTTTTGTTAACGAGTTGAAAGACAAACATGAAGATTGTTAGATTGTGGTAGTGTCCTTCGAACTGTTGAAGGATGAGAGGCTTAGTGAGAGCATCCGCAACCTGTCAATTAGTTGGGGCATAGTTGACTTGCAGTTATTGAGCCAGAACCTTACGAGATGCACATCTAAATCTACATGTATGCATTTAATATGAAGAATCCGATTCGCTGCCATGACTGTGACACTATACAACATGTTCATTCAGTAAATCAACTCTCAGATCATCTAAAACTGTTCTAAGCCACATGATTTCAAAAGTAACATCGGCCAAACTTCGGTATTAAACTTTCAGAGTAGATTGTGACACACTGTATTGCTTTTTGGTTGGCTTGAAATATATGCAATATCCTGATATAAAGCGGTGATCATCGTCATTACTTTCCAATCTGCATCAACAAATGCAACAAGAAGCTAAACAAATATCAATTGTTGGCATGCTTAAAACATTACGTGTGTTTCATGATCTGAAGAAAAAATAATCAAAGTTATTTGTTTCTGTAGTATTCCAATAATACCAATGGACTTTTTTTCATGTTTGCTATTTGCAGGAAAAATATAGACTTTTTTTTTAACTATAGATGTTAGTTTGGTGTATATTTTCATTCATTTTATTTGGATAAACTATATAAATTGTCTTGAAGTATGAGTAAGTTTCTTTTTCTAGCATTGAAATTTCAAAAGTAATGAAATAGTCACTAACATTATTGTTTTTGACAAATCGGTCACTAAGCCGTTAATAGGTATTACCACAATCATAGAAGTATGATGTGGTACTTTTGGTTGCTGAGTTAGCACCGTTTAACCACGTTGGCACCCTTTTTAATAGAAAATATTAAGAAACAAGAGGAAACTAGCCTACATGTTCTTGTTTCTAGAATGTCGATCCTCAGTCAAACATTTGTGCAACTTCTGTCGGGGAGTACGGAAGACAAGTAATCCAGCTGAACATTGTCGAGCCACCTAGCCATAACTTCTCTTCTCTGTTACACTCTCGAAGGGCAAAGGAAAATTGCACCATCCACGTACGGGCAACCAAATCAGCAATATGGGGCACCCTGGATGAACCGCCACCCAAGTCGGAAGTAGAACCAATGGCAAATATTGCCTCCCTGCTATCTATTTCTACAACCATACGTTGCACTTCCAAAGTCCATGAAAGGGAGAGGCCCTCGAATACCCCATAGCTCTGCTTCTAGTGCTGAGCAAACTCCAATTGCCTTTGTAAAATCCCAAATCTAGCGCCCTTCGTGGTCACGTAATACACCTCCACAAGTCGCTAATCTCGTTTGCAGCTGATGACCTCCAACCGAATAATCTTGATCCAATCAACGAGGAGACTTCCTCCCTGCAATGCCAGCTGAGAATCAGTGCATGGCTTACTTCCCCTTAAGTGCTTTGTCGTAACACAGTCTCATTTTGTCGTGACTAGAAAACGAAACAACCTTCAGAAATCCATGCTCATTCATCTGTCAATGTCTGCACCAATCTTATCAAATATTTTCATTTTGTCTCTGTTTATGTTCACCCCTACAAGATGGATACACAAACCTTGTCTTTTTCAGACCCACCCTAACATTTTTGTTTTTTAACTCCATAGTTAAAGGTTACTCCCTTAATGGTCCCTTTGAAGAACCTATAGCCTTGTTTCTTTAATGAAAAACATGAACTTTTCTTTTTGACGCGTACACAATTTGCCTTATCTAAGACATATCCGGGAAGCCTGTTTCATAAAAAAAAATGTATTATATGATAGGACCTAACTGGTATATGACTTCTCTGGCATTAATCGCTCGAGCTCATGTGCCTAACTGGTACATATGTAAACTAATTTAATGAATTAAATTAAAATTAGATTTAAATTGATAGAATATGTAAATATTGATAAATAAATGTATAATTATACTAAGTTTGTTAATGATACGTCAACACTTTCTTTTAATGTTAACGACATGTAACTTGATTGTTATTATTTAAATAAATTAATATGATTGATAAAATTAAAAGATGGATAATCAAAATTAAAAGAGATAATATTAATTGAAATAAATATAGTTTATCCTTACATATCATCCTTTAACCAATCAAATTAAACATGAATATATTTATTAAAAATAAAATGAAAAGGAAAAAAATATCTAATTGCATCATTGAAAAGTTAAATAATATTACATTGTTTATAAAAAATAAAATAAAAGGAAAATAAATACAATATCTTGTGTGTACAAGATTCTGGTACAGACGAAACGCATTTTTCATAGACATTTTTGTAGACGATTACTTTGGTCTAGAATGTTCGGGTCATTTATAATTTGGGAACTTGACTAGATCCGACCGATTCCCAGGTTCCTGGAACACCCCCGGTTTTACTTGTTAATCAATAAAAGAAACTGTCTTTGCCTCGTTTTGTCTTGTAATAAATCGCTGTTTACTAATTATTTTCTTCTTTTTAATCGAAGGAATCCAATTCCAATTTCATTCTCAAAACTGAGGTGCGTTCTTCAAATTTTCTCCATTCGTTCTCTCTCTCCTTTTGAAAACAATCAACGTTTGGTCGAATTGGTGAATTGATTCTAGGGGAAAAAATCAGATTCTTTCTTTCCAAAGTCCCCTTTCCTTCCTCCATTTTCACGTTAACGCATATTGTATCATCAACATTTGCTTTATTAATTGAAAAGCACTTGACTTTTCGTCTGGGATTTTCTTGCTTTTGTTTCCTTTCTTCCATTTTTCCTCCTTCCAAACAAGGGTAAGAAACGTCATGAAGCTCGATTGAAAAAAGAACCCTTTAATTTTAATTTTAATTTTTGGCTAAATTTATAGAAATTTCATATCATAGGCAAATGTTGTGAGCTTCTTCTCATTTTTTTGCATCTATTTTTATTTTGTGTAAATAGGATGGATATTGATGCAATTATGGTGAAAACAATGACCCGTTCTGTGAATATTCCAACAAAGAGTGCAATTTATGTGGGATAATCATAGCGGCCAGACTGGTAGGGGAGGGAAAGAGCAACACCTGAGGATTCCTAAACAGCTATCGCCCGAGCTTTTTGGGTGTCCGGCGGGGGTAAATTCCCGCTGGTTGGATATCGCTTGCGGCCGTGAGCATCTGCGGCGGTGGCCTCAGATGGGTCATTATTCACGTGGGGGTTTGTTTTTTGATTTTTTGTTTTCCATTTGAAATGATCTGCGTTCTTGTTATTTGTCCTGCCATTTGAATTCTGTTCTTGATGGCTTGAAATTGTGGAGGATATTGAGAATTGTTCTGGTCCAATCACATACTTTTTTTTTTGTTGTTCACTTGTTTGGTTTCCATTGAGACGGTTTGGTTGTATGTATTGCTTGAATTATATTCGTATAGCTAATTTGCTTCTGGACTGTCTCCTTGTTAATGAGAATTTATTTAGTGTGAATGATCAATTGATCATATATGATATTCTGTCATTGGTATAGATCTATGTATCTAGACTTGTGTGTCTGATACAGATACATATTCAAGAGAGATATGTTCAATCATTTTCATGCGTCTAGAGACTTCTTTAAGGGTCTAACCTCATACGCATGTTCATATATGGACACTGTACTTCAAGGAAATGAAGCGTTGGAGAAATATATGTGTAGATTGTTTGAATCTTTGATAGTAAATCTTTGAAGGTTTTGTCCTACTGACTATTGGAACATAAATGAAGTAGTCTTTGCCAAAGAATGTAGATGTTCTTGTTGTTTTTGTGTGTTCATATCAGGAAAAGAAGAAGAAATGAAGAATTATATTTTGATGCATCTTAGGTGCTAATGAGTTTGGGCAGCTAGGAGATGGCACTGAGAATGGTAGGAAACACCCAAAGAAGGTAAACAATTGCAGACAGAGTTTGTGAAATCTGTATCTTGTGGGGCACATTGCACTGCTGCTATTGCAGAACCTCGTGAAAATGATGGGACCATTTCAACAAGTAGACTCTGGATTTGGGGACAAAATCAGTAATGAAATTTATGGTTAGAATCATTGTTGCCGTTTTAGATTTTTAATTGATATTGATCTCACTTCCCAATAACATCTCCACA